CCGGAAGTCATGGAGGTGTTACTTGCGGACGGTTGTCAGATTTGTTTACGTTTTTTTGGATTTTAGCACCTCTGCAAGTTGAGGAGGTCTTCCTTGTTGAGGTAGTGTCTTTGTGGTAATTCCGATATTAAACAATTTAAATTAGGTTATATAGTTAAAATCTAAAAAAAAAATAAGACATCAGAAATATAAGAAAAATCAAATATCGCATTACGAAAACTGCGTATTGGGCAATGATGTCCCACATATATAATGTGCAGTTCGGCATGAGTGTTAAACCATGATGTGCTATGGCAGCAACCATGACGAGTCGTTTAGAATACTGACTGCTACTCATCTACTAGTTAACTATACAGAAGCATCTAGTTAGGAGGATTCCACCTTTTCTCCTAAACTTATGAGATATCGACACTTGTTCTTTGAAAATTGTTTACTCATTCATCTATCAGTATTTTTACCCTTGCATTCAACTAACTTTCATTTGCTATATCATTATTGTAAAATACTTCCATTTTTATTGTAAAAAGTTACATAAATTATTTAATCACTACCACAAAATGCTCAATGAAGATAAATGAATATCATGCCATATGTTTCAAACATTCATAGATGAATATTAATAATTTTAAATTTGAGTTTTATTATTTTATATGTTTTTATTTAGATAAATTTTAAACTATTTTTTATAGTTAGTAATCGTTACAAGATACTTCCTCTCTCTTAAAATACATGTTCATAATTAAAGAAGTCATAAATTTTTAAGAAGGATTAAATGCATGAGATAGCCACTTACTTTTATAAGTTTTATTTTTATTACAACAATGTATTTTCAAATTATTTTTTTTATTAGAGCATTGTACTTTGAAGAATATATCCAAATAATGACAATTGGTAACTGGTTTCCTTTGAAACCGATTCACCCCCACTTTTTTTTTTGCTTACATGGCTTAAATGAGATGATGTAAATGACACGTCATTCTAGTTATATGACACTAGTTGTGTATCTGTGCAATACGGCAGGAGCCGTGAATTTTAACGATTTTGAAGTTTCATTGGTTTTATTAGAGAATATTTAACGATAATATAAATTACACTTGATCTTTACATTTTAATACAATTTGAATAAATAAGAGTTATGGTTCCAATTACAGTCTATCGACGAAAAAAAATTGTATGACAGTTTAAAATCCAATATATTTGAAATCCAACATATTCAAACGACTCCACAAATGAGTTCGATTTACATCAAGAGTAAGGAATCAAGATATCGAGAGCAAGACTGAGAGTTCTAGAGCAAATGAATAGGAGAAGAATGAGGGAACTTTTAATAACTCATAATGAATATTAGTTTGAATCTCACCTTGGGGGATGAAGAGAAGACATAGAAGTATGAGATGATGAATGCATGAATGAAATATGTCAAAAGTATCTTGGGAACATGAAAAGAAAAGATAATAATGTGCGTTGGTAACTTATACTATATGTTATTTTAATTGTAGATTAAGAGATTCTAAGACTGAATGCATAAAGTAGTAACTTAATGCATTATGAGTTGTTTTTAAGATTTTTATGATTTTGTGCATAAATGTATAGTACTTTGTGCATTAAAATTTATTTTTAGAACTTTTGATAAATCTGGTTTATAAGGTAGTATAGATAAATAAATAAAATCCATTTTAATTTTTTTAATAATTTCATCATCAGTTTTCCTCTTAATTATTCATATCTCATCTAGGTTATTTTTTCATCCCTCTTTTTAAGAAGCCATTTCAAACTTTTTCTCTTCTTATTAAATTATATATATTTTAAACAAATATAATATAATTTTTTCAAAATAAATATTTTATTTGTAATAAAACATAACATTTATTATTTTCCTTATTTTAAACATTTTTTAGAAATGTTAATGATGTAAAACGTGTTTTTACAAATTTAATACTCTTAATATTGTTGCATAACTAATTAATTAATTTAATATATTTATCAAATAATATGTCAAGTCAATTTTTTAAAACAAATATGAAATATTTTTTTCAAGATAAATATTTTGTTTATAAAAAACGTTACAACTCTTATTTTCCTGGTTCAAATAAGTACATTTTTTAGATGTTAGCAAGATAAATTGTGATCTACAAGTTTTCTCAATATTGTTATATGAATGAATAATTTAATTTTTTAATTAATTTATTATATTTATTAAATAATACGTAAAGTTAAAATTTTTAAAGTACAATGTTGTAATAAGAAATGTCACATCAACAATATATTACACATGAATAATGACATGACATGAAAACCTGATAACATGTATCATGCCATCTTAATTTAAATCAAAATGTTACCCATTATATAAGTGGTAATTTTTTCAAAGTACAATAATTTAATAAAAGATAATTTGAACGTATATTGTTGTAATAAGAAAAAAAATGAAAGTACAATGCTATAATAATTTTTTATGAAATTAGATTGTTATTTGATGCATTTAACCCGTTTTAGGAATGTATTGCACTTTTTAATTAACAAAAAAGACAAGTTTACTTTTCATTGTAGAGAGAAAAAATTTCACCATCTTATAATTAGGGTTAAATGAAAAAGTAGACATTTAGTTTTAAAAGTGGACCCTTTTTTAAACAACTAAAATAATAACGTAGACATTTATTATATGATGCATATATGTTTTTGGAATAAAAAATAATTCTATCTTATCTCATTAACTATAATTGATAATCCACATACAGCGGTAGGGGTGCTCATGGGTTGGGTTGATCGGGTTGAAGACATTTTAACAATCCAATCTAATGATTGCGGTTTGAAAAATCTTAACCTAACCCAACCCAACCCAATCCAAACAAAAGTGCAACACAACCCAACCCAAACCGTACTGGTTGGTCGGGTTGGACGGGTTGATATTTTGTTACATTAAAATATTCGCCTAACCTTGAATATGTTATTCTCTACTCATAATTTCTTTTTCATCATCAACCATTTGATACAATTTATCCATACTTCTTACGTATATCACATTCAGTTAATTTTCTCAATTTTTATATATATGTTTACAGTTACCGAACATATATATGGATGAGTTATATACAAATGTGAATAGATTGAAAAAAATGTGTATATGAAGAGCGTACGTGATAGTATAATTGTCTAATGTATATATTAATATAAATTCAACAATCATATCAAATCCAAGAAATAAAAGGATATCGAGTTCATCGGGTTGGATTGGGTTCAGATAATAAAAATCCAATATCAACCCAATACCTACGGTTTGAAAATTTTACAACTCGATTAGACATCGAGTTACTTCGAGTTGAGTTATTTCACGTTTGGTTGGGTTGGGTTGGGTTGATCGGGTTTTTGAGCACCCCTACATAGCGGCAGGTTTAATGTCCCAAATGCATGTCTAATACAATACATCAATAGGGGAACGTTCAAATAAAAACCACTCAATTTGTAAAAAACGTGAAAACCTCATTCAACCAATAATAATTTTTCATTTTGTTGATTTTTTTGTAATTATGAGAGGTTGATTAACCATTTTTATTGTGGAGGGTGTTAATCATGGATATTATCTTATTCATTATTTTAATTTTAGAGAAATACATGAAACAGTTTCATTAAAATTTCATTAAATATTATATGAAACAATTTCATAACCATATATGAAACAAATTCATCAAAAAAAGTATTATATGAAACAATTTCACAAGATTAAACAATGAAATCGACGTATGAGGGTGGTTTGTACGGTTTTTACAAATGAGAGTGGTTTTCATTTGATCGCTCCTCTACATCAATATGTTTGATAGAAACACAACAATGAAATAAGCCTATTAGAATGTTCAACTGTTTTAATAGAGTATTTAATGAGGCTTTTAATTATTATTTTTGACTAAAACTTTACATCTGTTACAATAAGAGTTATGATGAGTTATTAGACAAAATAAGTCGTATAATCTAACAAAGTTATATGTCTATGTCAGTGTTTTGAACAATAATCATTAAGTTATTAACAATTTAAATTCATATAAAACGATAAGCAAAAGAAGAATCATGAATTTACAATTTGATATTTACAACAATGATATGAAATATACAAATTAAATCACTGTTCACAGTCCTTGTTTGATAATCAAACTGCAAAATCAAAGAACAACAAATGAAAGCAATGAAACGATATTTTTCGTATGCGGATAAGTAATTTAGGGTTTTTTTTTTCTTTTTCCCTATTTTATTGATTACGTATTTGGTCCGTAAAAACTATAAAGTTACATTTACACCTTTAAGGTAGATTAAAGGCCTGAAAGTTATCCGATGTGTTTTTAGCCTAATTCCATCGTTTGAAGGGATTTTTAAAGTTTTAGGTTGATTTCGAGGGTTTTTTTTTAAGTTCTTTGTCGATTTCGAGCAACTATTTCTGTTTTTGTTGTTGATTTTGAGTTACATTTTTAGTTTTTTTGGTTGATTTTAATGTTATTTTTTTGTTGGTGGAGGCACAGGCCGGAAATTACTGGGGGGGACTGGTAAAAAGTTAAAAAAAAATTGTTTTTAACCTAAGTAATTAAGAATTCTTTTTTTAAATGGGGGTCCATCCCCCCCACCATTTATATACTACATCCGCCACTGGAAAGGATGGCGTTTTTGAGCAACAACTTGATCTCTACATTAATAATGTTCAACAAAATGAGAGATTTGCTAACGTAAAGGGTATATCCGACCGGGCGGACCCGACCACTCTGTAGCATATGGTGGCACATGCTACCGCTTCATTTATCCGTTGTAGTGTAAGAATAATAGGGTCGTGAAGGTATCACCATATCATTTTGTTGTGTGCAACCATATATATTTTGAAACTACTGATGATGGCCCAACTTTTTATTTTATATTACATTATTTAAAAGTATGGCTCCATTTACCACAAGTTCTAGATGCGCCACTAACCACCATAGTTAGTATATATATATATATATATATATATATATATATATATATTATCCAACTAGGGAAGACTTGATAAGGTGGAGGGATTGTTGAAGATCATCACACAAATTTTGAGGGTCAGGTATGGTTTCTTCTTCAACCGATATCGAAAATGTCACTTTGTCCCCGTAACTCAACACACAAATCATTAAGCCCTGCATGTATACAACATTCGTTAATTAGAAATCGGTATCGTTCATTTCAGATGTTCAGTGAAACAGGAAGGGTGAATTTTGGGACAACAAATTTTTATCTGTATAAATAAGGATTTTCGATCTGACCATTGGTTGGCCGTAACAACCGGGAGCAATGTAGTTAACTTCATGCCCAAGAAAGGAGATTTGTTCCTGAGGTCCAGGAACATTGGAGAAGGAAAACGTTGTGTTGGCGTAAACTCTGTGTTTCATTTTTCCTGCAAACTGTATATTAATTATTAGTCATTTTTCTTGCCAGAAATACCCAGTATTCTAGTAGTGTTTGGTACCAGTTTAATTACCTTAGTACCAAACAACTTCATGACCAAATGAGCAATGAATGAAGTGCATAACGGCTCTATAGAAGCTTTCTTTCGTTCCATGTCGGTCTTCACTTCTCGCACATAATCTAACGAATCTTGGTTATGTTTGATGCTGAATGGAAGTAATACGTAAGCGATCTTGTTTCCCAGTGCTCCATGTCCTCTAGTCGTATCAGTACTGGAAAACTATAATCAGTAAGTGAAACTCCATTAGATTACTCTTCAAAAAGTCCATCGAGGAGAGTGCAATATGTACTGAGAATAAATGGTTCAAGTCTAGTTGATGTGGATTTTAATTAACACACGCTCTCCAACGACGAAGGTTAGATGGACACAGATTGTGATCACATAGTGTCGAGTCCTTATAAGAATGGTAGATATTAATTAGCTTTGATACAATGTCGGTCTATAACAAGATAGAAGCTACACTCACATCGATCATTGTAGAGGGTCGCATGTTGAAGGAAAGCGTTGCGTGAAGGCGAATGTCCTCAGGAACATGATTGTCATTGTTCTCGATTGCTCCTACATGTGTCATGAAACCAACTTATTGCATCTATCGTTAAATATGAGGAAAGTTCATTTAGGAACTTTACGTAAATATTTTGAGAACTTGCTCTAAACCAATTATTTCATGAATTATTCACACAACGAGTAATCCTGAAATATTCATGAATGTTTATTTGTTATGCATACGATACGATGCATTTTCATTATTCATATTATCATCATTAATATATAGACATCATAATATTCTTTATGAATAATTGAAGAATCGTTGGTTCTCAAAATATTTACGGTTTTCAAATGAACCTGCATCTATTGAATATATAGGCTAAAAAGGCTCACCATATCTCCGGTTTAGATAGCGGTATAAGCCAGCTTTTATGACTCCAAGTACTACGTCGTTTACCTTCTACAAAATCAGTACCATAAAATGGTTGGATTCGAATTAAGGAGCATCGCGATGACTCTTTGGTTATATATATATATATATATATATATAGAGAGAGAGAGAGAGAGAGAGAGAGAGAAAGAGCGATCAATTGTAAACCATCTTCATTTGTGAAAGCCTTACAAACCAATCTCATTCATCTATTTTCTTGATCAGTGGTCAAAATTAAATAGTTTTATATTAGGAAATTAAAAAAGTTCAATTTTTTATTAAAAAAAAGGGAAAAATCGGCAAATCACAGATATGAATCTGTTTCACTGTATGAAACTATATTTCATCACTGTATGCAACTAATTAACTGTATGAAAAACATTATTTCATCACTGTATGAATCTGGTTCACTGTATTAATCTGTATTTCTTAACTAGATGAAAATGTATTTCTTCATTGTATGAATCTGTTTCACAGTATTTATTCACACGTGTGAATCTGGTTCACTGTATGAATCTGTTTCACATTATAAAACTGTATTAATCTGCCATCTTCATTGTATGCAACTATTTCACTGTTTCACCGTTTTTATATTTAAAAACAATTGATTTACACCTTCCATATAAACGATTTCTATATTTACCTTTCCATATTTAGAAAATAATTAAATCATTTCCAACATTATATTTAAAAACAATTCATTTACACCTTCCATATAAACGTTTTCTATATTCACGTTTCCATATTTAAAAACAATTAAATCATTTCCAATATTAACCATTATACAGTAAAATGACAATTATACCCTTACTTATTAAAATTAAAGAATAAAAAACCGAAATTTTCTATTGGTCGAGAGTGGTTTGCATAGTTATCACGAATCAGACGGTTTGTAATCTAATCCTCCCCCCCCCTCTCTCTCTCTCTCTCTTTATATATATATATATATATATATATATAGAGAGAGAGAGAGAGAGAGAGAGAGAGAGAGAGAGAAAGAGAGAGAATTTGTTTCAAATGCAACCTATCACATTTGTATAACCAATGCAACCCAATAAATTGAGATATTTCAAATGCAACCCATCACATTTGCATAACTGAAAATATGATACCAAAAATATGAAGTAATCAAAAAACTCAAAGTAAAAACTAACTTACCACATCCAAAGCTTTTTTCACCAACTTTATATCATCAAAGCTAACACGTGTAAAGACAAAGCGACGAGGCTTACCCTCCATGCCTGCATAGCCTGTTACTGGTGTTTTTGTGTCTTTTAGATCAAACAACACAGTCGAGATGAACACCACAAGTGCGACAATCGTGTTCCAAATGACCATAAATAGGGATCTTAAATCAGTAACTAGTCGAACTTGTCGACCAGATTTATTGGATCCGGGAAGCGTAGGCAAGGCCTCAGGATCTGAGGCCTTGCGACTACAAGCGAGCAAGAGATTGATCAAAGAAATGCCATCACCAAGCGAGTGATGAGTGCGAAAGACGCACGTGCCGTGTGCATCTAACGTCTTCGTGTTGAGGATGTGTATATCCCATAAGGGTTTCGAGTAGTCGATATGGGATTTACTTAGGTTTGAGATGTAATCTTCCACAAACTTGTCTCCTGACTCCATGTTTGGATCAAGTTTTGGAACAGCAACATGGTCATCTAAGTTCACTTGTGTTGGAACCCATGTCATTTTCCCATTTTCTTTGTCCAAAACCTGTAACAAACAAGTAATTAAAATTAGAAAGACATGAGAAACCTAATTAATTACTGGCAAAAAAACACTATGCTGATCAGTGGCGGATCCAGGAAATTAATGGGGTGGGGGCACGTTCGATGGGACTTGGAGGAGGCAAGCATATGGCCATATGGGACTGAGGGGAACAATGTAAGACAAGGATAAAAATAGAAAATTTAAGCTAATCAACAAATGTTTTTGGTCTTTGACTGGGGCCTTTGCCCCCAGTCCTTAAGGCTAGATCCGCCCCTGATGCTGATACATCCTTCAAATTAATAGAGATTAGACTCCGGCTTTAATACCATGTTAGGATACGATGAATCCCATTGAATCTCTCTAAAAGAGCCATTATAGAGAGATATAAAGGTTCCTATATATAAAGGACTCCAGGTTCCTACATATCACTACAATAAAATCGGGTTTATAGGACACTCTCAAATTCTAAGTGTCATAATAAACCTCTTTATAGGACTTAATTTATGAGACTAAAAAAATAAAGTGTCATATATAAAAATGTTGTAATAAGTTTATATAACGTTTTTTGATGTCGTAATAAGTTTTTTAGGACACTTTTAATATACAGTGTCCCATTCTCAACTTTGTATGACAATATTTGAAAAGTTGTCCAATAAAAACAAGTGTCCTATAAAAAATGAGTTTATAGGACACTTTCTCAAAAGTGTCTTATAAAGTTGCTAATGCGACACTTTGTATTAAAAATGTCCTAAAAAACTTGTTAAGACGCCCAAAAGCGTCAAATAAACTTATTACATCACCTTTTAGATAGGACACTTTATATTTTGGTCCTATAAATCAAGTCTTATAAAGAGGTCTATTGGGACACTTAGAGATTGAGGGTGTCCTATAAACTCAATTTTGTTGTAGTGTATATAGTGGTTTGTTGTGCTTGAAGCATTTAAGTAGAGCGAATAGCTACCTGTAAACTTGAGAAGCGGTGATTTTTACGGAGCAAATGAACCAAATTGGCTTTGAAAACATCCGGATTGATTAGGGTTTTCATACCGATGATGGTGATAATGTGGACATTAGCACCAGGTTCATGAAACAACCTAGACACAGGACTCAATGGCTGTTCATGGACTTCTTCTTCCTCGAATCGTTCGTTACGATCTTGTGTCGGTTGGATCCGAAGAGGGTTCAAACTTGGTGTTTTGCACTTCATCTTTGACGATTCAATAAGATTTTGTAGAATGCTACGAATTCACGCAAGGGATTTATATGCATAAGAATGCAAGCACACAATTGCATGAACCCTAACATTATAATAGTAATAATTGAAGGCAATTAAAGTTTGCAAAATATATCAAATGGACCATCATAGAATTAAAGTTTAAAACTTAATGCCATTTGTACCAAATCTTGCTAAATGGACAAAAATACCCTTTATATCCATACGTATGATATATTGAACTCGTTTAGTTTAGTTATCAAGAAATTAAGAGTGGGTTTCTTTACAGTCGATAACTCTAAAAAGGAGCGTGGAAGACTTGCAACATCACACGGAAGTGGAGAAGGGAGAGGGAAAGGTTGTGACCGTCGTGGGATGGGTGGCGGTGGTGGTGGATACAGTCGGAAAGGTGGGGACAATGGCGGGATGGGTGGGGGTGGTGGATGTAATCCATAAGTTGAGGACAGTGGTGGCAGGCCCGTTCCTGACATTTTATAGGTCCTGGGCGAACGTAAAAACATGGCCCACCGCAAGAAACAAGTCTTTTAGCAATGACTTTTTTTGTCGCTAAAAGTCCATTTATCATCAAAAAGAGTATATAACAACACGCTGTTGCTATGACTTGTGGCAGAAACATGTCATCGCTAAAAGGCGCATCGTCAAAGCTCACTTTTCTTGTAGTGGCCCTCGGTAAGTACGAAAAAAGAAATTCCATGAATGTTTTTCATTAATATAAAACTAGTGTTTGACACCATGTGTTGCATTATGAGAATAATCCTTTTTAAAATTATTGAAGTTAGTTAAATGAGTCGATGATCACATTTATATATTAAACTAATAAGAATCAATATTATCTTTGATATATGAATACACCTTATAATTATTGGTTGTTCTTTTAATATATATATATATATATATATATATATATTATTTAA